AATAGCATAAATAATTTTTAAAATGGTTAAATATGATGATGTAAATTTGATATTAAATTTTACTCTATGTATTTTTTAGAGAAGAATTTATTCCAAATACTACAAGTGTGCCTGTTAGACCTTGTTATTGAACGCGTTAACAATAACAACTGTATAATAATTATGCGATTGAATATTTATTTTTGAAAAATTTAATGATAAATTTATAAATAATAAATTTACTAAACTATTTGGATAAATTATATATTATTTAATGCTAAAATGTAATTTTGAAAGTTTATGCTGTGAATATGTATTATGATATGAGTCAAAAATTATAAAACGTGCAATCAGATTATATAAATAAGTCATGCAAGAGAACAATGACATGATTACTCAATTTATAATTTAAAATCTTTAATAATAGAAAAGGATGATTTAATGCTAATTAAATCTGTGCTTTGAAGTGCATTTTACATCATTCATATAATATTATTAATTATAAAATATACAAAAACATTTTATAAAAATATTTTAATAATTTAAAATCATTTAAATTGATATTTCAAATGAAGGAGATAAATTTGATAACTACCTGTATTGAAGTAAAGATTTGTGTTGACAACGCATTTTGCTGGTGAAAAAGTGAATCATTGTATTATTGATAGTCTAAAATAAAAAAAGTTAAATTTCAAATTGATTATAAATTTGTCAATAAATTATGTTAAGACTATTGACCTAATTATTTTTATTTAATTAATATTAATATCCAATATGAAATATGATGAAAGCATTAAAGTCGAAGCATATGTATTTTTGAATTTTATAATCAAGAAATGGCTAATGTACGTGAAGCTGTTTTTAAAATTTTGAATGGATTAAATATCAAAAATAATAAATTTTTACTAAAATTAACTAATTTATAATATAAATAAAGTAATAATTTAGTAATAAATAAGTTGAAGTATGCAGTTAAAATAATTAAAAATTTATTTTTAAAATATAAAAAATACACTTATAAATAATAAGTTTATTAAATTATTTGATTATATCTTATTTTAATTAATGCTATAAATATTTGATAGAAAGTTTATGCAGTGAAGAAAGAGTATGATACTATGAATGAAAAATTATGATACGCGCAAGCAGATTTGCTCGAAGCAATTGATAGTTATATTATCATAGATATATGTGATAATATGTATAAATAGAATTTTGATATGAACTTTATTTATTTTACAGATCTCTATAAACTAAATAATTAAATTCAAATTAGTAAGTTATGTTATTGAAAAATTTAATTTAAATTTTTAATATCTACAAAATTTATACTTAATAATTTTAGAATTAATTAAAAATATCATTAATTATAACAAAATTAAAGAAATAAAAACAAAAAAGCAAATGATATACTTATCAGTTAATATTATCTATATATATTTAAATAAAGTTGTGTATGAAGCCTTGCACTGGAAATGTACCTTGCACAAAAGGTTTTGGCTCAGTTTCAAAATCATCATAAATAATTAAATCATTATAATTAATTTATTTTGTATTAATTTTTTAATAATTGAAATTGATAGTTATTAAACATGTCAAAACAATTGATGAAAATAATATAAGCTTTATTGTATTAAAATATAATGTAAAATTAATTTTACGCTAAAAATTACTATCAAATTATTATAATATTATCTTAACGCAGAACGTAGACGTAGATGTAACGTGGAAATACATTAAAAAATTTAAAATTAGTTCTATAAAACGGAAATGAATGAATGAATATTACTTAAAATAATGTTATATGATGATATAAAAATAATGTTGTTAAACGTATGTAAATTAAATATATTGTTAAATTAATTATATTGATATAATAATTAAAAGATAACTTATTGCTACTTCATGATAAAAATCAGTGCTAAATGGTATCGTGTTAAATTAAAAGATCAGAGGACATAATTTTATTAAAGTTATATAAAATCGATATATTTGATAAATATTGAAAAATTATGATATAATTATAATTCATATAATAATTATATTGATATAATAATTTATAGGAATATTTTTACTGTAATAATAATTAACACCTCTATTTTTTATTACTTAGGTTGTGTCATAAATATTTAGCCCCCCTTGAGCAAAGTTAAATAAATATTTATTAAAATTAAACTAAATGTTTTCAGACATCGAATTATATTTTTCTATAATCTTAAGAGAGTTGCCTATTTTCTGGCAAAAAATCAGAATCCTAGGATTAAGTTGGCATTAGTTAAAGGTGAAATACTAAAACTTGTATTTTTGAAACGAGGCAACTTCTTTTTGATTTTTCTTTTCAAAATTGATGAGTAATAATGAAAATTTAAATGAATTCTGATAGAGTAGAATCTGATGAATACAATGATATAAGAAATTCCCCTGGAAAACAACTGGCTGATTTTTTAGAGGGTCGCATGTGTGAATTACGGGCTAACATTATGCTGCTTTAGGATAACTCTCGCGCGAAAATGCCCAGCGTGGCCAGGCGACTAGTTTTTTCGATGTACTCGATCTATTTGTGAACAATACTATTTGGGGGTAATAGTTTAGCCAGTTTAAACTAAATTCCAATGATTACCTCGCCGCGACACCACCAAATACATAACAGATCACGCTGTTGGACCAGTCTGGATTAGAGGTCAAAATTGATGGTTAGCTGGGACAACTCTACTTCTTAATAATTCTTTTATCTTAACATCTAAAAACTGCTATTCGTCTTTAATAATTATATCTTTCATAGAAAATGGAGCGAAACCTTCAAAGGAAAGTTACATTAAATAATCAACAAAATACATCATATATCTATAAAGTTATAAAAAATCTACATGATTATGGATTAAAAATTGAAAAATTATGATAATAAAATATAATATAATAAAATCTGCATTAATATATTATCAACAAAATAATAAAATATACCTAATTGTATATGTTTAAATGTAGTTTGAAAAAATAAAAGTTTCCATATTTAAAACATCGCTAAATGATAATAATTAATTATAAATTAATACTAAATTGAATAAAAATATATTTTACGTAATTGTAGATGCCAATTGATGAAATTTTAAATGATGGAAAGGACACGACCCATTATCACAATGGACATTTATTGGATGAAATAATTTTAAAATAAAAAATACGAGTAATCAAATACAAGTGTTATTACACATTTATTTTTAAGCAATTTAAATATATAAATAATAACTAAATATATAAATAATTTAAAAATAAATATAATAAACGTTCTATCATTATTAAAATAAATAAATTGTATGAAAAATTAAATATTAATTATTAAAGTCTGATTCTAATATAAAATTTATCATATTTAATTACATATGGGTATCATTAGATATAACAATTACATAAGGTAAAAAATATACAGACAGATTACTATATATATTATAATTAAATATTTTCTATACTCAAGAATATTTTGAAAGTATGGTAGCGCAGACAGTTTAAGATATTGAAAGAAATTATAAAATTTTCCTATAATAATTAGATAATTTAAACATTTAAAAATGTTATTAAAAAATATTGCTATGATATTGTTAACAACTAACTAGTTAAAATAGTGTTTTTAATTAAATAATTAGGTTATTATTATTCATATCTTCATAATTAAGTTTTATCATTATTCGTACAAATGAAAGCTATGTTTAACGATCTTGAAAGATTATATTTTTTATATTGAATATAAGTCAATATAATCAGCATATCTATATAATTAGTATAATTTATAAATTATATAGGTAAATATAAATAACCAATTAATGATACATTTTTGAAATCTAGAATCGATTTGATTCAGTTTGATTATATCGATCCTTCTCAAAATTATAACTATTAATTTACATATTGTAAAGTATAGAATTATTTAATATTAATGCAACTTTTTTATAAATCTATAATTTATTGTAAATGGTATATGAAATTTGCTTGTAAAAAATATTAGATTTAGACTTGGTTAAAAATATTATGATTTTTACAATAGTATTTCTCCAAACAGAGATATAATTAACAATTAAGTGATCAACAAGAAGAGATTTGCCATGAATATGATTAAAGAATACTTAAATTCAAAGTTTAATCATACATAAATTTTAAACTAAATAATGTAAATCTTAAATTTAAAAATAAATAATAGAAGCAAGTGTAAATAAATAAAAAACACACGAGTAAACATTCTACTAATATTCTATAATACATATTGGGCCTATGTCGCGGAAAAGGGCAAATCCGCGAATATAAAAAAATGGCTGAGCTGTCGCGGAAAGGGTTCCGCGAATAGTAAAAATTAAGCCTAGTAAAAACTCACACAATTTTTCAAGCAAAAACAAATTGAAATTTTATTTAAAGCAATTAAAATTTTCCAACAAAATATATTTAATCCAAAGCAGTAAAAATTCAGTTTTTAGCAAAAAAGTTGAAAGCAAAAATTTAAGTAAAGTCCAGAGCAAAATTGTAGAATATTTTTAGAATGAAGAGCAAAAGCTAAATCAGCAGCAAAAGAATATTTTAAAAATGAAGAGCAAAGTAAAAACAGCAAAAAAATCCGAATAGGAAAAGCAGACTGAATGAATGCAAAAAGTGCTTGAATGGAGAACAAAAATAAGCATATACATTCAGTTGAATAAAAAGGGGAGGGATAAACATTTTAAATAAACAACCATTGGTCTAGGAAAGGAATTTTGTTTTTAAGTTTTTAAATGCAGGTGTTGAAAAAAAGGGAAAAATTTAGAAATAAATTAAAAATAAATTCTTTAATCTTTAAAGTCGTGAAACGACATTCCCCAGCAACGGAAACATTCCATTTCTTTTGTTCCAGTAGTATTGTGTTGGTGTCAGTGGGTTAAATTGGTAGGGCATCTGAGCAAATTGGAAATTTTGTTGTGGCATGTTGGGGTAGGGTGGAGAGAAGCGTTGGATGTTATGTGGACATGGCACATGAAGAGACATTAGAGGTCGTGGACGGATCCCACCAGCCAAGGGTTGAGTTGAAGAACGGGCACGTATATGTGAATTAAAAAATGTGGGGTTTTTCGTGGCAAAAACATTTTTACCTTTATTAGCTAAATTTTCCTCCGCAAAAGAGTGTTTCTTCCATAATTTGTTGTTACAAAACGTTGGTTTAGTAGTTGTTGTTGTATTAATGGGTGGATGGTTTGTTGTTGTTGTTTTAATAATTGTTGGTGGAAGTGCATTGTTGGCCGTAGGAATTAATTTTGGTTGTTTCGTTTTTGTTTTTGCTGGTGTTTTCACTTTCTTTTTGTATTTAGAGAGGGTGGAGGTGGAGGAATTCGAGTAATCGACCCTCGGCCGAGGGTAAAGCAAATTTTTATTTATTTTTTCGTAATTGTGGTTGAAGTATGAGTGCGATCTGTAAATTGTGTTGCATATGGGGGTTGGAGGATTTATTTGCAAGGTATGAGCGGAGAATTGGGCTGCCTTTTTAGTTTCTAAGATGGGATTTGGTGGGAGAGGTGAGAAATTTCTGTTTGCTTGACAAAAGGTTGTTTGTGCACTTATCGGTAGTATCATGGTCTGAGGCGGGCTTGAGTTACAGTAATGCCCGGTAGTGTTTGCTTGCTGATTAATTTCGTAAATTTTGGGGTTCTGGTGGGTATTGTTTTCATAGCAATTTCGGGATGCATAATTTGATGTGTGGATTTGGTTATTGCAAATATTTGCTTTCTGGCTAAATTTTGCAAGGATTTTATAGCAAAGGGGGCGAGGGTGCATTTTATTGCAATTTTTACATTGGGAAGGGTTTGGGCAATTTTTAAAATTGTGGTTGGGCTGCAAGCATCGGGAGCAAAGGTTTAATTCATTAAGTCGGGAAATCCGGGAATTGTGCTCCGGAAAGTTTTTGCAGTAGGTGGTAATGTGGCTGGTGTCGTTGCAGAAAAGGCACGGATGTCTAAAGCCGGGATTTCTATAATTTTGTTGATTGGCCACAGCGGAAAGGGTTAAAGGAGGGTTTTCTTGCAAATTTCTTGTTGGCAGTTGCCTGTTAAAGGGTAAAGAATTTCGGTAACTTACGGGTGTGTCCAATCGAAAAGGAGGCAATTGTTGGACATTTGGTTTTTGTGGAGTCAGTCTTGATGGGTGAACTGCATTAATTTCTTCCCTTCTTTTTCTAATATTTTTTAAGCATTCTTTTAAATCGTCTGTTGTCCAATGCCCGGCGTGTTGTTCTTTTGTTTTAAATATTTCTTCTAATACAAAATTTGGTAGTTTAGCTTCAATGTCCATTAGAATTGAAGGATTATTAAAATCAGAATTATGTTGTCTAAATTGGATTAATATGGATTCTAGGTTGTCGGTGAGTGTAGCAAAATCTTCGTTGAAGTTTTCTCCTTTTCGAACGGTTGGGAGATTTCTAATTGCTTGGTAGAGGCTTCGGACAATTTCTTCTTTATTATTAAATTTATTTTCTAGCAGGTGGATTGCTTGGCCATAGGAATCGTCGGTGAGTGGTAAAGATTCGATTAGGCAGAGAGCAGGGCCATTCAGGCAGGATTTTAAATAGGAGAGTTTTACAGCGTCGGAAAGGGAAGAGATATTTCCTATAGCAGCGGAAAATTGATTCCAAAAGGAAAGAAAGTCGGCAGATTTGCCGTTAAAAGATGGGAGGTTCATTCTGGGTATATGAGCATGCGAGGAGGATTGAGTGGAAGAGGAGGGTAGCGCTCCTTCTAGTAAATGCCGCGAAGAGCGTAATTTTCGTTTGTATTGCTTCATTTTGTTGAGGGTCTCTATATAGGGGTATTGCGCGTAAAACTGGTCATAAACGGAATTATCGGCCACACGTTCGGGGCCTGTCATGTTACTTCTGAGCGACATCCAGTTAGAGTGTGCTTGGGAAAGGTCATCAGCTATCTCGCATAAATTTTGGAACTCAAGATTTAGGTCTGCTAGGGAAGCTTGAATGGCAGCATAAAATTGGGCGTTTGATTGAGTGGGTCCTTTCAAGGGTACATTGAATGATTTGGGAGCTGCAAGGAATGTGCCTGCGTCCTCAAGCAAGGTAATGATTTCGGTGCGGTACCCGGAGGACATTTTTATTTTTCCCGCTATAAGAGATTATATTTTTTTTTTGAATTGGTGCAAGAGGTGTGTTAAACCTCACCGGCTGAGCTGTCGCGGAAAAGGGCAAATCCGCGAATATAAAAAAATGGCTGAGCTGTCGCGGAAAGGGTTCCGCGAATAGTAAAAATTAAGCCTAGTAAAAACTCACACAATTTTTCAAGCAAAAACAAATTGAAATTTTATTTAAAGCAATTAAAATTTTCCAACAAAATATATTTAATCCAAAGCAGTAAAAATTCAGTTTTTAGCAAAAAAGTTGAAAGCAAAAATTTAAGTAAAGTCCAGAGCAAAATTGTAGAATATTTTTAGAATGAAGAGCAAAAGCTAAATCAGCAGCAAAAGAATATTTTAAAAATGAAGAGCAAAGTAAAAACAGCAAAAAAATCCGAATAGGAAAAGCAGACTGAATGAATGCAAAAAGTGCTTGAATGGAGAACAAAAATAAGCATATACATTCAGTTGAATAAAAAGGGGAGGGATAAACATTTTAAATAAACAACCATTGGTCTAGGAAAGGAATTTTGTTTTTAAGTTTTTAAATGCAGGTGTTGAAAAAAAGGGAAAAATTTAGAAATAAATTAAAAATAAATTCTTTAATCTTTAAAGTCGTGAAACGACAGCCTAATTGGGCATCTCATCAAAACCATATTTTTTCAAGATAGATTAAATATTGATGTATGTTGATAGAACGCAAAGAAATTTATTTTTAAAGAGTAAAAAATAGATTGATAAATAAAAAATAAATTTTAATAAATAATTATATTTCTTTCACAGCAACAAATTTCAATTCCGTCAAAGCAACATTTAATTCTGGCACACCACCAATGCTTGTTATTAAGGTGTGGCGACAATGATTGTGATTGTTTTGATAAAAATTGAAATCAGTTTGTAGAAGGTAAAAATAAACATAAATTTTCGATTTATAATTAAACAAAAAAATTTTTTTTTAATTTTCTAATTTACTACATAATTTTTTTACTAATTCATTAAGCTTTATTTCTTTTCACACTAAAAATATAAAATTGAGGGATACTTTTGTGTCCAATTTCAAAGGCTTCAGCATTCTTCATTAATGTTAAATTAAATAAAAATAATTAAAAATTTAGACAATCCATAATTTGTAAAATAAGTAATAAAATATTTATGTTTTACAGAATCCATCCTAACTATTATATATTATTCAACAAAAAATTCAACTGCGATCGCCATAAAACAATAAATTGTAAATATTTAAATTTTATAAAATTTACAGATTATATAGTATATCAGGCATAGAGAATAAAGAGAGTGTATAACATAAGGAAGAAGAAATTACAATTTAAATAAAAAAAGAGAACAAAATTATTAAAAATAAGTTTGTAGAGCAGGAAAAATTGAAGACGTGCAGGAAGAAAATGATCTGAATGCTGATGATTTACGCAATTATACTTTTTATATAAATTCTATGTTTAAAACACATTTCGATATGCGACATGTATAAGAATAGTATTAAATTAAAAATAAATACAATAAATTCTATAATTATTAGAATAAGTATATTTGTATTAATAATTAATAAATAACTTTTAATTAGGGTTGCGCCCCGAGCCTTCGGGGTTGAAAAAGTCGGGGGTCGGGGTTTTCGGGGTTGACAAAGTCGGGGTCGGGGTCGGGGTTGCTCAAATTGTTCGGGGTCGGGGTCGGGGCTGAAAATGATGTCGGGGTTCGGGGTCGGGGTCGGGGGTCGGGGTTGAAGTAAAAATTTACAAAATCCAGCATTTTTATCCAACATTACTGTTCAAAATCAACATTTTCATTAAAAAATGAGAATGTTGTGACTTATAGGGGTTTTTTTTGGCTGGACCGATTTGGTCAAATGAGGTGTCATTCGAAAGAGCTCGCCGAGCTGAGTCGATTGAGGGGCGAGTGGAGCCGATCCGACAATCAGGGACCGAGATACAGACCCCTGAAGTTTGAAAAAGAGAAGGGGGGAGTAAGCTCACTTTGGGGTGAAAAATTCGAAAATGCAAATAATAGCTCATTCGACCCCCCTTCTCTTTTTCAAACTTCAGGGGTCTGTATCTCGGTCCCTGATTGACTCAGCTCGGCGAGCTCTTTCGAATGACACCTCATTTGTCCAAATCGGTCCAGCCAAAAAAAACCCCCTATAAGTCACAATACCCAAAAATGAACTTAATCTTCATTATCTTCACTTTCTTTATCTATTTCCTTATTAGTTGAAGGCGCAAGAAGTACTTTATCCAAGTTATCCTTTATAATCCCGAAAATCCCCAAACCCACAAAATAACTCTTACTCCCCCTCTTATGTAAAGGGATTGTCCTAAAGCCTCTGTATCCATTCATTGAGTCTAGCGCCGCAGGCAAAAACTTTGAGAATTTTGGAAGGTCAAGAGCCAGATTTCTTCCATTTTCTGCGCCGCAGGCAAAAATTTTGAGAAATTTGGAAGGTCAAGAGCCAGATTTCTTCCATTTTCTGCGCCGCAGGCAAAAATTTTGGAAAATTCATGACTAGTTTAATATTTCTAATATTGTTTCAAGTTTAAAATATTAAAAAAAAAATAAAGTTGCAAATTTAAAATCAAGATCAAAGTTTAAAAATATTTATTTTTGAGAAGAAAAATCTTCTCAGCCTCATTCCCATCCATGGATTCGAACAACATCCCTATCAAAATAGCTAAATGGGTGAAGTCAGTTAACCTAACCTCACAACCACCGACCAACAAAAGGAAATAGGAGAAAATATAAATATTCCTTTCCCTTTTCCTTCATATATTTAACATCAAAGTCCCGATCCCGTTCCGATCTCTTGTTAATTAATGCAGTTTGAGTCGGGGGCATAAAAATTTTTCGGGGTTCGGGGTCGTCGGGGTCGAACTTTCGGGGGTCGGGGTTTTCGGGGTTGGGAATGTCGGGGTCGGGGTCGGGGTTTTAGGTCAAAAAATGTCGGGGTTCGGGGTCGGGGTCGGGGTTAGTCGGGGTCGGGGCGCAACCCTACTTTTAATACAATCAATAATAGAGATAAAAGATGAAAAAGATGAAAAATGAAATATATTTTTTTATATTTTTATAACACAATTGCATGAAATAACAACATAAAATACAAGTTAATATATTTAAAAGTAAAAATTATCTAGACCTAAAGGTTGACAAAGTTGCTTTTGAAACCATGCATAGCAAAGTTACATTGCTTTAAAGGTTCTGTCAAGTGTTCAAAATCATTGTGTTAAAATGAAATTGATAGTTGAATAAAATTGCAAAAACAATTGATAAAAATAATATAAAATTGACTGTAATATTATTAT